GAATACAGTAACCCTTACACCCAATCCCTTAACCACGAATAATATACATCGTTTTAAATCGTATGAAGTATCCCATTGTTAGTTAAGTCTTATAATATGGACAAGTATCCTTAGGCTAGTAGGCCCAAGGTCCGTGTATAGTTGATTTTATTTTTCTTTCGTTTTTTCCCCCTCTTTTCTCTTTCCTTTTCTTCTCATATCTTTTTTTTTTCTTTTTCATTCCTTCCTTCTTTCTTTCCTTCTTTCTTTTTTTTTCTCTCTCTCTTCGAACCTATTTTAATCTGCGCGTGTGTGTATGCGTGTATTTACGTGTTTCTCTAATTGTAAATATATATACGCGTTAATCTTTTTCATCTTCTTCTTCTCGCGCCCGATAGTGGGTTCTTCCTTTCTTTTCTTGTATGTGTGTGTGTGTGTGTGTGTGTGTGTGTGGGTAGATGTTTTTTTTCTCACGATCACGAGTTCGATGGACGTATTTTCGAACGTTTCGAAAAAAAATCGAATTAGAGGGAATGTTATTTTGTATAATGGACGAATCTCTAAATGAAAAAAGGCAGTCTTTAATTATATTTATAACAAAAATTTCTTTTCCTTCTTATCAAAATCAAGATTATTATATACATATGTATATATATATATATATGTATATATATATAAATATATACATACATATATAATTATTTTATACGTCATTATACATACGATTTTGTGTGTATGTATGTATGTATGTATGTATGTATGTATGTGTATATACATATATATTTAAAAGAGAATCAACTGTTGTTGTGTATTTTTTATACAAACCTTATTGTTTTTAGATAAAGTTGACACAAAATAGTGATGCAATGAAAACATCATAAGTGTAATCAATCATTTTTTCAATATTATGAAAAATTATCGAATAAATGCAATTGTCCGTTATCACGTTATTATCTTCAAGGATTAATGCAATTTTTCGAATGTGAAAGAAAATCGTCGATCGTTCTCGTTGATCGCGAACTTTGATAGCAAAATTCTGCAAAACTTAACTAAATAATTGCGTCGATCAAATCCATGCGATGGAATATAAAGTTAAATTATTGTTTTTCTTTTTTCTTTTTTTTTGTTTTCCCCCGAAACTTTTTCTACTATTTCTTTTTTCTTTCTTTATGTACGTATATTTATATGTACGAGGATTGAGACAGATTTTTAAAAAAAGAAGGGATTATTTCGAGCGGACAATCTTTTTTAACCGACTTCTCCATTTTTTTTTATTCAGTTGCGTATATGCATATGCATGCATTATTTTTGCTTTTTTCGTTTCTTTTTCTCCTCTCTCTCTCTCTCTCTCTCTCTCTCTTTTCTGTTTTTTGTCTGTTTTTTTTTTTTTTGGTAGAAACACATCATTTATCATAACTAATTGAACCGATCACGAAATTTTTTGACCTTCGATATTTCGCAATTGAAATAGATTATCACAAAATGTCGTAATGTTTAGAATCATTTAGCAATTCGATTCGAATTAGCAATCGTTTAGGAAGTTCGAACTTATATCGATGGTAAATTTTACGTGGAAAAATTTGGAATGGAAGAAAAAAAAGAAAAAAAAAAAGAAAAGTAAAAGAAAAAGCAGAAAATTTATTGTGAACGCGACGACATACACAATATCTCATTATTGTGCTTTTTTTTCCCTTTCATTAACCTTTTTTATTCATTTCTCTTTCGTTTCTTCTTTTCAATTTTATTTTCCTTCTCTATTTATCTTATTTTTCTTCTCTCTCCCTTTCTCTCTCTCTCTCTCTCTCTCTTTCTCTATTAGCACGTCGGTCAATATTATTTCTCGAATTCACGAGGATCATTTTATTTATATGTCGGATGTACTCGCTCGTAATACCAGGAAAAAAATTATCGCAGTAAATCTTAGTTTGGAGTAATATATAAAAAGAAAAAAAAGAAAAAAAAAAAAAAAGAAATTATGAGTGTCTCATCGTCGAGTCTTTAATGAACGTTTCGATATCTCTCCTCGAGACGAACTTTTAAAGATAAAATTGAAGAGAATTTCTTTTACTCGAAAGTGTTACATTAGTCAATGAAAGTTTTCTTATCGTCAATTCTGTACGGAAGATCGTACGAGATTGTAAAAAATTGTTTGCGGATATAAAGATAATAATAATAATAATAATAATAATAATAATAATAATAATAATAATAATAATAATAATAATAATAATAATAAAATTAAAAAATTGATAAGCGCACGCTTATGTGTATATATATGTATATATATCATGTATATATAAAGAGAATAATAAATATAAGATCTAATAATATATATATATATTATATATATTTATTATATATATGTATATATATAGTAAAATTGAAGTGGGAAAAAAATCGAAACGTTCGATAAGATCGAAAACAACGTGAATAAGAATGTTTGTTGATCGGCGAGATATGCGTCATATTATTCATTAAAATTTACCATAACGTCGAGCATAAAATGTAAAATAATAAAATA